GTGGGGTAGGGCCAGAAGAGGCCACTCTGAGTTGTAGGAGAGCCCATCAACTTTACAATGGAGGTGGTTCTAACGAAGGACATAATGGACGCTTTACAGGAAATGCAAACTAATATTCTGAATCGCCTTATGACCTAGATCTCTGAATTTAAGACATTGTTTTCAGGTCTGAATGGAAAGGTGGAGCATCCGGAGACGTCAAACCAGCTCATCGAAACTGAGGCAGCACCAGAGAGTGAGAGAGACTTTATCTGTTTCCAGAAAGGAGGGTGAAATTCCTAAAAAGGAGATCAGAAAAATTAATCTGTATGGTGAGAGAGAGGAGCAGGTGGATGAAAAAGAGATGTGTTCTAATCTGATGGGAGAATATTCAAAACAGGGAAGTGGGAAAGCAAAGTGGAAAGGGCAACAAAATGTGCTATATATCGACTGGCTTCAAAGGCAGAATACGATTGATAGAGGAATATGAATCATATTCTAATTGATCAGAGAGTTCAGAGGAAAATCAGAGAGAAAATGGCTTAAAGAAGTTCTATAGATGGCATTTTAAAACTAGTAAAAAGGATGCAAGAATTTAATTCTAGGTTTATAATGCTATAAGTGATTTGGGATTCCTGGCCTGTGCATGGAGCTAAGATACATAAATTAAAAAAGGGGGAATGTTACTTGCTGAATATATAACAATAGAAATTATGGATTGAGAGGCACACATTTATACATAAAATCGATGTGAGTTATATACTGTAAGCAATTCCGGTTATGTTTGGATTCAAATGGTAGTTAAGAATTTCTAACTATGTAATCTGAAAAATGCTTATGATGAATATAATACAGTGGTGCCTCGTTTAACGAGCGCCCTGTTTAACGATGAATCTGCATACCAATGAGGTTTTTGCGATCGATGGCCCTTCCCCACAATCATCCCAAAGGCCACGCCGATCAGCTGTGGGAGGGGTGGAGAGTGAGAGCCCCGAAGCACAGCTCATTGGTGGGGGTTTGCGAAGATCGCAGGGAAGTCAGCTTCACAAACCCCCGCCTCAGCTCTCTCTCACGTGCGCTGACGCCTCTGGGCAAAGGGGTGGTGGGAAGGGGTGCCCCTGGGGGCCAGCCGCCGCTTCGCTTGGGGCGCATCCCCGGCTCCCCTTTCTGGCTTCCTGGATGTGGCCCGGCAGGGTGTGTGTGGGGTCTCTCTTCCCCTTCCGCGGGGGCTTACACCTTTGAGCAGGGGAGCGCTCCTTCTCTTATTGCTTCTGTCTTTCCTATCTTGTCAGTCTCCCTTCCTTCCTTTCCTTTTTCCTTCCTTCGCTCCATCCTCGATGCCTTCCTTCCTTCCTCGTCTTCCCTTTGGTCTTCCCTCCCTCCCTCCCTCCTCCTTCCTTTCTGGCAGATGCGCACCCTCCTCCCAGGGTCTCCTCCTCCTCCTCCTCTGGGCTGCGCGCTCCCCTCAGGGCTCGTGCGGGGGGGATGGGAGCAAGGAGAGAGGAGGCGGCAGGCGAGATGAGGCGGGCTGGAATTTAGGTTCCCTCCCCTCCTCCTCTTCCTCCTCCTCCTCTTTTCAGGGCGTGGGGGAGTCCGCCACTCCCACCCCACGAAAGTTCTTTCCCGGAGCCGTGCGGGGCGCCTGGCGGGGGCACGCCACGACTGCCGGGCGGACAGGCAAAAGTTGGGCCGAAGTTGGCTGAAGTTTGCACGC